ATACAGACAGTCCCTATAGAGCTGAGCTTTCCCAAATATTTGAACCAGCAAATTTATCAACAACAGATTCATAGTCTACGGAGATAGAGGATTGAGTCACCACAGCCGATTTCTCCTCTTTATTGACTAGAGACAGCTCTATCTCTCTTCTGGTTCGGCTTTGTCCTTGATTCCCGAATACCTCATCTTTGTTAGGTATCGTCTGAGAACTGAAAGGTTCGCTTCTCGAAGGCTTCGTACTTTGACCCAAACTGAGAGAGTCAGCTCGCGACAAAGCCGGGGAACTGGGGAAAGTTGCTTGTGACTTATACAAAACTTGTGGATTGAAACCTCCTGTCAATCTTGTTTCACTAGGAGAAAAAGAAGTTTGCGGGTGTGATTGTGAAGACTTCTGCGAACGTATGAGGAATTCAGATGATGGACTGTAAGAACAAACAGTAGTTCGCGTAGAAGATTGTGAACTGAGAGTAGTTCTTGGCGAGGATTTCTGGCTCTCTGTCTTCCGCATGCCTGTAGGTTGGAAACGCTGCGTTATGGCTTCCTTCATAGCCCCCCAACTCATGTCTCTCATTTGAGTTTCCCACCATTCAAACCAGTGAAATGCCCTTTCTTCCATAGCTTCAGCTGCGATTTCAACCTTATTTTTTTCTGTAATAGCATAGTGTTACGGATGCATTTTATGGATCTAGCAGGAGGTTTAATTAAAACAGTTTAATTAGAAGAGGGAAATTATCCTGATGCTATTTTTATATTTTATTTATTACTTCCTATTAGGAATAGAAGTATTAGAGGTTACAATTTCTATTAGATTAGAAGTCCTATTAGTAATAGAAGTATTTAGAGGTTACAGTTTTAGTTAGACTAGAACTCTATCATGTAAAGGCATGATGCCTATTTAATTCCTTTTTCAGCCTTAATAAAATCATCGATCATTAGAAGAATTAATCCCCAGAGAGAAGTCACGGACTTCCCCCTTCCCCCTGCGCTCTTACTGCGCTCTTCCAGCCACGGGTAAGAAGAGGAGTAACCCTAGCAGGCAGGTTATCACCTCAACCGGGTACCCTGCTACCCCAAGTCGTCCCTGGACCCGTTCTCAGTCCCAGAACCATAACAATTTGGTAGCAGAGCTGTCACGATCCATGACGCCACAGAATGATGATTTAACCACAATGATGAAGGAGTTTATGGAGGCTATGACTGCTAGGGTAACCGCCATAGAAGGGCAGATTGCTGCTCTATCTCTGGCAGTCCAAAAACGGGATTCCAAATCAACAGAAACACATGAAGAGCAACCCGATAACAACTTGATATCACACAGCACCTCAAACCCCTGGAAACCACAGTATGCGAAGATGGAATTTCCTGTGTTTGATGGTACCTACGACCCTACCAGTTGGTTGAAAAGGTGCGAAAAAGTCTTCTTGAACCAAGAAACTCCTAGTGTTGCAAAGATGAATATGGTCTCATTCCACTTGATAGATGATGCACAACTGTGGTTCGATCAGATGATAGAGGAAGAAGGAGAAGTCAACTGGGAGAGGTTTAAAGATCTTTGTCTGGAGCGCTTTGGGCCCCCTTTGAGTTCTAACCCGATTGGAGATCTGAAACTTCTGATGCAGATTGGATCAGTTGATGAATATTGTGCTCAATTTCAGAAGGCCTTAGCAAGAACTTCACAAATACAGTCCACCCATCAGATTGCTTTGTTTGTCGCAGGTCTCCATCCCCACTTACGGGCTGATGTGGAGATAGCAAAACCAGGCAACCTGCGTTACGCAATGAACCTTGCACGGGCATTGGAAGCAAGGCAAACACTGACGCTTGCACCTGTAAAAGTCTCAGGTCCTACAACAGATATGAAACAATGCAGCAGCCCGGCACAGCTTAGACAAGCGCTTGTGACAACAAAGGCAGGAAATCCTATAGTTAAGCGACTCACGAAGGATGAAATGGCAGAAAGACGAGCAAAAGGGCTATGTTATAATTGTGATGAACAGTGGATGATGAATCACCGATGCAAAAAACTTTTCTTGATCGAGATAGAAGATGAGCAGGAAGAAGATGATGGCTTCCCACACTTGGAGTTGTCTGCCAACGCTATAAGTGGAACTATTAGTTCAATGGCAAGGCAGCACACCAGACAAGGCCACTTGGGAACCGTTTGACACTTTTATCACTGCTTATCCAGGATATGAGCTTGGGGACAAGCTCAGTTTCGAGGGAGGGAGTGATGTTACGGATGCATTTTATGGATCTAGCAGGAGGTTTAATTAGAACAGTTTAATTAGAAGAGGGAAATTATCCTGATGCTATTTTTATATTTTATTTATTACTTCCTATTAGGAATAGAAGTATTAGAGGTTACAATTTCTATTAGATTAGAAGTCCTATTAGTAATAGAAGTATTTAGAGGTTACAGTTTTAGTTAGACTAGAACTCTATCATGTAAAGGCATGATGCCTATTTATATTCCTTTTTCAGCCTTAATAAAATCATCGATCATTAGAAGAATTAATCCCCAGAGAGAAGTCACGGACTTCCCCCTTCCCCCTGCGCTCTTAGTGCGCTCTTCCAGCCACGGGCAAGAAGAGGAGTAACCCTAGCAGGCAGGTTATCACCTCAACCGGGTACCTTGCTACCCCAAGTCGTCCCTGGACCCGTTCTCAGTCCCAGAACCATAACACATAGAGACAGAAATATCGTTCCATCCTATCCATCCATCTAAAAGTGTCATCACCATTGAAAGAAGGTAATTCCATCTCCCTCCTTGTTCTATTATAACTTGGATGGCTCTTGTAGTGATTGCATTCCTGATGCGAAGGTAAGTAATCATAATTACCTTCTGAACCTTCTGGAGTAACAGAATCTCTCACATGTCTGTGATGCAAAGTGCGATGCAGATTGTGCGAAGAATTTTGTGCGCTTAGCCCGGATCCTTGCGAACTAGAATGATATGTGAAGTGTCGAACTGTGCGACCTATAAGAAGCTGTACGCGAAGGGGCCGGTGAACTGCGGACATCTGCTCGCGGCTGAGAATAGCCCTGCGCAAGCGACGAGGTCTGCGAATTAAGCAAAACTGTTCACGATGGCGAGCTGGGAGAAAAAACTTGCGATGAAGATGATTGAGGATAAACAGTTCATGACGAAGCCTTAGAATAGGAAGCCGATACTGAAGCCTGCGAACGGTGAGATGTTGGCGACGACTTCTGAGATGTTGTTGAAGGTCACGTATGATGATGAGGATGGGATCGTGATTTTCCTCTCTCGCAAAGTTCATCGCTCAGCGCATCCATCTTTATCGCCATGTTTTCCATCGTCGTTTTCATCCGTAGCAACGCTTCCTCATTTCCGATCCTGCTACCCTTCTTTTCTTTCCTTAGATTCTCCATTTTTGCTCTGGTTCGAACCATTCAGAATGAGAAAAAAAAATCCGGTGATAGTACAGCAATTCCGATCACCAGAACAGTTGCTCTGATACCATTGATAGAAACCAGACAATTTACTGTATATTCAGTAAGGAATTAAGAGAAATCTCAAAATTACTGAAGCAATTGCAATGGCAGAAACCCAGCGTACAAGAAAGAGAAGAAGCAGAAACAGGAAGGGGTGAGACAGTTCGAGCCGTCTCGCACTCCCAAGCCTAATCCCAGATCCAATTTCAGCCTCCTTCTTATTTCCCCCCTCCCTTCTATTTATACTTACTTATGGGTCAGCCCAAAACTAACTAGTACATGGCCCAGGACATTTATTTATACAATAACACTATTTAATAATAATACTCTATTATTCTTATTATTATTGGCTGTTCATGTGCCTATCATTTTTATTCAAAATCTCATACATCTATTTCTTTTATCCTTGCATTACTATTCAAATATTCCATAGTATATTCAAATCGTATTCCAAAAACTTCACTCGGAACAATTAACCCTTCTAATGGTATTGGAACTGTTAAAATTTGATTATTAATCTTCAATTTCTCCTTACATCGTAGTGTTTATTTCCTGCAACATTTGGTTAATGACTCGATGTGGTTTAAGTTTCCATCATTTTCAATGGAGCCAAAGACACTATTTTTGGGGTTGAGAATATGATGGAATAAAGAAAAATGACTCACTAAGCTGTCTGCGTTTCTTTGTTACAAAGAAGAATGTTATGAAGCAGAAGTCAGTCCATGCAATTTTTGTAAATTTCACACGTGTGACGTGTGTAAATTTCACATGTGAGTGTGATGCGGTAATTCGATAAGCAGACTTTAATCATACTACGTATCACATAAAACTAACTTTTTAGCGAGCTCTGAGATTGATTCTCATAAATTTTATAGGGTGCTTGAGATACGACTTTGGACTTAAGAATATACATTGATAAAATTCAGGTCAGATTTTGGGTTCTGAATATGACGGAGATGTTGATGATAAAAGACTAGTTATTGGACATGTACTCTGCAATCGGGTCGAGTAGTTAGTTGGAGTGTTACTTTACAAGATCTAGTAGCATAATCTATCATTTAAGAAAAATAATATGTCATTCATATTATTGCTATCTTTTTAAAATAATTTCAACCATATAAGTTTTTCAAAAATAACTTGACTAAAGATCACGTGCATCATTGAAAGTAAAAAGATATAGCAAGTACTATGTTGCACATGTAGGAACAGAGATGAGGTTGTGTAATTCTCCTTTTTTCGCACTTCAGTCTAATACAGATCATTGCATACCCTCCCATGAACATAAGACAGATCTCCCTAAATGCATAAATATTGTTCTCTTTTTTATTTAAATTCTCCATACATATAATGTAAGAGGGAACACGAAGGGCATTTGTCATTAAAATTAGTTGCTGTGTTTTACATGAATTTATCGTACTAATTAATTTGACGATTTAGGCGAAATAATATGTGATATAATGATGATTGTATATGTTTTTTGTGGTTTGACGTTAGTATAAAATATTAACAAAACACATATTTTTACCAAGTGAGAGAGCACTATTTACCTCAAAAACATCTATGAGATATAATGAAGATGCTGCAGCTATGCAGGCACGAGCTTGTGGAGCCAATTTCTTTTGGAGAATCAAAATTCCCCTGGTGATATCTTCCGCTTTCATGCGATCAAGACAACCTCTTATATTCTTAACACCAATCTTGCTATCGTTGGGGTAGAAAATCATGATCTGAATCAGGAAATGCGCTTTACATAAGCAAAAGAAGATAAAAGAATGCATATGCGGTGCATTGACTGCATTCCAAAATTGTAGTTCTGGAATAAACTAACAAGCGTCAAAAGATCACACAAATTCTCACACAATTACAATAAAAGGTAAAGAGAAAGCGAAATCTGGAACTTGTGAGCGTTGAAAATAAACAGTAAAGATGAAACGAAATCTCAAAACCACAGAAGTAGCAGATTGTAACTGAAATAAACGGCATTAAAGTCCGATCTTCATTCAAATACCTTATTAGAACTGTCGTTGTGCATCTCCTTTTGCATTTCGAGGTTCTCTCTCGTCACATGGTCACCAAATTTAGTAATAAAATCCGCTCTAGTCAAAGTAATCTCAGCATCTTCAACCACGTAGCCCCTGTCTCGCAGCATACTCATCACAGTCTTATGAACCGTAAATACTTTCGTCTTCTCTTCTTCCGTAAAGAACATATTTGCGCTGCGTATTAAACCTAATGATAACAAGAATTTGAAGAGCAAGCTTAGTTTATTCAGTTTATTATATACAGAGAATGGCGAGAGAGAAAGCGAACAATAATATGAGTGAAACAGGGCAATCTTGTCGATATGCGATTAGCCCATGTATATAGTTTAAGAGACAGAAGAGCTAACCAGAGTGAAACAGGGCACGAGTGGATTTACGTTGCCGCCGGCTTGGAGCGCAAAATTAGGTTAGAATCGAGGTAAATTTCATAATTTCATCCTACACAAATACTCCGTATCTTTTTAATACAGAGTATATGCAAATAGGACACTGTTTATTTTAGATCTTGTAAAATGGTTTTTGTTATTCATCCCATAAACTATTTTGTTTTTAATTCATTTCTTAATCGAAATTGCTCTACCTTTTTTTTAAAAATATTGTTGATTACATGAATCTACTAGAAACTTTTAAATCTATCATTTTATAATTTTTTGAGGCTAGCATTATAATTAAAACAATGAAAAACTTATTATTCATATTTTTAAAAGATGTATTAAATACCTTCTAAAAAATTAAGGACTTTTCGAATAACATGAGAAGAAATAGAGGAAACCTTATAATCGGGGTTATTTTATTGTCAAACGGAGATTGTTATCATCAATGATGGACTAAAATGAAAATCAACCTAAATTAAAGTGTGAAAAGAAAGGAAATAATTTTGCAGAGGTCTAAAGCAAAATGTAGTATATTTGTAAGGACTAAAAATATATTTAAACCTTCGTAATACTATATATATATATATTTTGGTCAATCAAATTAAACTTTGATCAATCATACTCCATTTATCTTTTTTTTTGTTCGAAGAAGGCTTAATTCATAAAAATAGCATTCAGCAAGGGAACAAAATTAGAAAAGAGCCACAAATAACCATCCGCTCGTGGCTGAGACTGAGAGTTAACCACCTGTGAAAAAGCAGTATAACTCGCAAGACCAAAATTGGACAACTTAAAGCCAATGACAGTTACCGCAGACTTTCCCTCCCCAACCTTAATGCAAGAGTCTTACAAGGAATGGAAAAACAGAAGCAAAACAAAATAAAGCAACCTAAGTTAAGATACCCAAAGAAGACAATAATAAAAACACCATTGTAATTTTTCCTCCCCACCACTGCCCAACAGAGATAAGGCGAGTCTAGGAGACCTGACTCACCCCCTCCCCATTTTTTTGCCCATCCAGAGTCATTCCATCGCCCTCTGCATCCTCTTCAGTCTGATTATCCCATATCCTTCTACGCTTAGTATCTCCAGGAGTCCCTTCCTTGTCTTCGCTCTCATGCAATGATGGCTTGCTAGATTTGGACTCAACCGTATTCTCTACCCCGAGATCAGTCTTCCACTGTCTTCCAAATCCATCTGAGCTAGGGGTTCCCTCAGATAACCGTTTATTAAATCATGTCGGGCTAGTCTTCACTCTTCCTCCAGCTCTAAGTTCCACCCCATATATTTTTCAACTACAAAGTCCTCTTCGTACTTCAATGGGCAGAATTTGTCAGAATGCCCAATAATACCACAATTAAAGCAAAAGATGGGTAGTTTTTCATATTTAAAATCTACCCAATGTTTCACCCCATCATGTGATAAGTCGATACCTTTTTTCAATGGTTGACGGACATCCAAACACACTGGTATTCGCAAATAAGAACTCTGCTTTCCATCAAAGTGGCCCATCTCAAATTTAATAAAAGAGCCTAAAAAGTTACCAATTTCCCTGGCAGATTTTAAATTCCTATATTTAATAGGAGCATTATGAACCTGTACCCAAAAGCTAGCCTCAAACAAGTTCATGGATTCCGGTATATCATATGGTTGCACAGCCTTTAGTAATATTAAATCAAGCTCAAAAAGCCAAGGACCATCCTCTATCACACGGTTCATATCCAAAACATGATTAAAATTTAGTAGATACCTTCTTCCGCCGATCTCTTTGATAGTCACACCTTTTCCTGGTTTCCAGATAGAGGTCATTAGCTCTTGAAATCCAGGTAGTTTGGCCTTACGGTCTGTGATAACAACCCCAACCACTGGAAAAGTCACCGGTTCCTTCTCCTCTTCGCTGTCGTCCTCTGGCTCCTCATCAAAATTAAGCTCCGAATCTTGCTCCTTCATCGACATCTTCCTATATGAAGCCACTATATCCTCCATACAAGAACCTTCTTCGGCCTACCCTTCGTACCGAAGATCCTCGCTCTCAGTCCCGTCGAAGCCGCCTGCACGTCGTCTGGGGTCGCCGCCCTCTGCTTCGTCCAAGATTTCTTCCTTGCTAATCTGTACCCGATCCCCGGACAAGAACCGAGATCGGAGATCCAAACCCTAGCGGCCGAGCCCTAGGAGTACCGAAGATTTAGAGAGAAGAAAGCTCTCGCTCCGAATTTTGATATACTCCATTTATCTTTATAAAACATGATTTATAATATCAAAATTATATGAAAATATTCATTGTTGAAAATGTTTTCATAGAATTATAAAATCTATAACTTTCTTAAAAATATATTCCTTACTAATTAAAATCATTGATCAAAGTTTATCATTATTAATTTGAAAAGACAAAGAAGACAAATTTTTAAGAGTTGGAGATGGCATAAAGTAATTAGAGCTCGTTTCATGATGGACATTTTCAATTTATCAACTTTATCAGTTAACTTTTAATTTTACAAACTGAATTGTGTAATACAAATAAATAAAATTAGAGTTACTTTTATCTGAATTAGCTAAAATTAATATATATGAACATTTTAACTATTTTTCATATATATTTTTATGAAATATATTTTAAATAAGAATATTCCGTAATTCAATATATTCAGCCATATCAGTAAAAAACCATCAATTATAATAAATTTAGTCAATTCACTCAATTTCGATGTTAATAACAGACTCTTAATTTGCATGTGACATTTAGAGATTTAAAGCGGTTATGATTTGATTTGATTATTAAATGTAAAGTGTAAGACACTAAAACATTTAGCATATGTAAAATGTTTTACAGGTTAGAGTGTCAAATAGGCCATGTACCTGTTTCTAATGCTCAATTGAACTGCTAAAGTAAATATTTTTTACTATGTCATGCTATGCATTTCAAAACCATGGGTGGAGTTATGCAATATGAATAAAGCATGGTTTGTCTACCCAAAAAATACAATAAAAAAATGTACACAAATAAAACCTATCTTAGTTTTTCTACTAAAAAGGATTCACCATTCATAAAAAGAAAAAATCTAAAGTAATACTCAAATAAAATTTATTTACAAAAGTTTGACTAAAAAATACTATACTAAATAATAGTGTCATGGCCATTAAGTGTAAAAATTGGAAATAAGTTGATATTAAAATTGCTTCTGCTCTTTCAGGGAGCAGAAGTAGAAGTTGGAGTGTTTGGGTGAAAATGCAGAAGTGATTCTGGTGTTCTAATTTACTCCTAGAATCAGTTTTTTTAGAAGCTGGGGGTACCAGCTTCTGAAAACTGATTCTGATTCTGCTTCTGCTTTAAAAAAGAAGCAGAAGCAGTTCCAAACACCCCCTAATATAGTTACTATTATAGTCACTACACTTAAGAAGTCACATTTTTGTAAATATCATTCATTTTCATCATAAATATGTAATTATTTCAAAAGGAAATGAAAACCCTTTAAACACTCTTTTATTAGGATCGTATGGACCTGCTTGTAAAAATGATTTATGTTACCATCATATTTAAGGAAATTATATCTTTTTTGCATCTATGTGCATCAGAATTCAAAAGTTCCCAATTTGTAACTGTACCACTTTAGGGGTAGGCAAACAGGTACTGCAGATCGAGTCGGGTAATACAGGTTCGTGGCGGCGGCTTAATCCTGTCCTAAGTTTAGAAAATCCAAACAGGGTAGGACGGATCCTAAAAAAATTAGGAACCGTGCAGGTATAAAAAATTAAGAACCAAGAACTCAGACTGAACCGGACCATTTTAAACGGGGAGGCTAAGGTCGGGTTTCTATTTCGAGATAAATAAATAAATTTTTTTTTATTTATATATTAATATAGGTATAAATTTGATTACCAGCCCACCCCAAAATTAATTCCCAGCCCAACTCAAGCCTAATCCAAGTGTCCAACTATTCCACTAATCCACTCACATGCGGCCTACTGATCCTTATGCGAAGATTGAAGAACGAAGGTCGAAGAGGAGCCTGGCAGCTTGCGACACAAGCTGACCTGCGGCTGGTGGCCCACTCGGCTGTGTTTTCTCTCCGGCTCACCGCTCTGCCTATAGCTCCTGAGCCCCAGCCTCTAGGTGACCAGGTATACTCTAGCTTTAAATTTCTAATACTCTTTTAGACTTTAATTAATCGAATTTTTCAGGGTTATTGTGTATTGTTATTTTTAGGGTTAGAGAATCAATTCGATAATTAATTGAATTTCTCAGTTCATAACAAAATAGTGTTTATTCATTATAAATTTATAATGACTAAAGATAGAATTAAAGATTAGAGAATGATTTATTTATTATACAATTGAAGAATATTGATTGATTTATTCATTGTGTGGACATGTAAGAAAGAATTAAAATTTTCAATTAAATTTTAAAATTGGGAATATTTATTTGTTTTATGTACAACTATTGTTTTTTCTTAGGGAAAAGTACGGAAAAAATACTTGTGGTTAAACCCGTTTTCAGAGAGGGTCATGTGTTTCATTCTTTATCAAAGTGGTTCATGTGTTTGAATTCCGTTATCACAAGAGGGTCACGCCGTTAAAAACGTCTGGAAAAAACCATTAAAAGTAACTCCGATTTTCCAAAGTGCCCGAAAAATTAAAAGAAAAATACCAGAAGGTGTGCCTCAATAAGACGACCACTAGGCCATCTTTCTTTTTTTGTTTTCAGCCACCCTTGTCACCGGAAATTCCATAGGAAAATGATATTAGCGAAATCATTTTTAAAAACTAATTCAAACAGATCTGAAAAATCCAAAGGCGAAGAAGGTTTGGAGGTCATCTTGACGAGGCGTACCTTTTCGGTATTTTTCTTTTAATTTTTCGGGCACTTTTGAAAATCGGAGTTACTTTTAACGGTCTTTTTCAGACGTTTTTAACGGCGTGACCCTCTTGTGATAACGGAATTCAAACACATGAACTACTTTGATAAAGAATGAAACACATGACCCTATCTGAAAACGGGCTCAACCACAAGTACCTTTTCCGTACTTTTCCTTTTTCTTATTAGTTTTATAATTTTATAGAAGTGTTTTAATTCATACCAATATTAAAAATGTTTTTTTTAGAATGGATAATGATTAATGAACATATTGCTAAGAAAGGAAAGAAGTTAATTTCGTCATTCTTTCCGAAAGTGAATCGTCAAAGTGGTGAAGGAAGTTCTGAACCTATACCTACGATAATGCAAGATCTACGAAATGAGGTTCCTCCACAAGACCAAATCCCTGAAATCCAAACTATCTCAAATTTGGAGCTGCCTCCATCTTTTTGCATTAATAGATGTAGATTTTATATTATTGATGAATTTTATACTTTGAAGTCAAGTAGGGCTCAACTTAAATGATGTTTTGATAAATACTTAAAGTGTTGACGAATTTCAGTATTACTATGTGTGTGTCTTCAAATTTTATTTCTCAACCCACCCCATACTTCTGGATCCGCCCCTGCTTGGACTGAACCTAACCGTTAAATGAAACCGACAGTTTTTGAATATTTATCAATTACGCGGACCAATCTGGGTCATGCCCACCCCTATATCACTTGATGTTGGCGAACTGATACTTAAGAACTATGTGAACCTATAACATTAACAATCCAAGCATAACTTTGTTTAACATTATTATGTTAGATTCTTAGCCCATAAATTCTTGTTGTATATCAGATTATGTTATAATTAATGAGTACACTTTGTACCTAATGAGTACACTTTAAAGGTCTTTTTGTTGGCAAACACACAAATAATAGCTTCAAATAAGATCAGTGCAAGTGATGCACTGATGTGTACTGGACAACACTCAAGTGGTGAAACATTGCAACACTTTAAGCTCAGGCTAGAAAATAAAGTGAAATTATCTTAAAACAGAGGAAAAAACAATGTGAAATTCCAAAGTAGAAGTACTTTATTATTTTTCTATAAATATGAGCTAATTAACGTCATTTGAAAATTATGTTGCTATATTTTAACATTGTCAAATATTAATGTGATAGCAATTGTACTATAATTAATAGTATTTCACAAATGATCAAAAAAAAATAGTATTTCACAAACATGACAGAAATTCCTTCTAGTTAGGGGAGGGTACATTTCTCCTATTTTAAAATTTCACATTATGTTTAATTAGAGCAATTTCTGAATCAAAATAAACGTAATTTCAAATACGTGTGATACTATTATAAATATTTTGCAGGAAAATGAAAGAATTGCTGGGCAGGCTGTTAATTTTAGTAAGTCGAACGTTACTTTCAGCTCAAATGTTGGTGAAGAAGTTCAACAATCGATTTGCAGGCGACTAGGCCGGGGTTAACCGGGAGGGCAATCAGGCTAAATACTTGGGGTTACCACTTACCAGCTCTTGTGGGGCGCCGGAGAAAAGAGATATTGAACTTCTTGAGAGAGCGGATAGTCAAGCGGCTTGCAAGTTAGAATGGTGAGTTTCTTTCAAAAGCATTCTTTTACCTAAAAAATTATATGATGAGACAGAGGTTCCTATGAATGGATATTGGTGGAAAGGGGCTGGTTTAGCAAGAAGAGGGATAATATGGCAGACTTGGAGCAGGTTGTGTGTGCCCAAAAAGTTGGGAGGTTTGGGATTTAGAGCTCGTTTGGTAACACGAAAATCAGCTGTTTTGGCTGATTCTGATGAAATTTATGAAGTTTTGGCTGAAGTGACTGCATTGGCTGATTCTGCTGATACCAGAAAAAAATATTTTTAAAATATATTTTATTAATAAAATAAAGAAAAAATTATATGTAAAAATAGCTAAAATAATCATCTAAAGTAACTTCAACATTACTTTTTCAGCTTATTACACAATTCAGCGCGCGAAAGCAAAATTTACGTGTTTGGTAAAAAAGTTGGCCGATAAGCCTGATAAGCCGAAAATAAGGGTTGACAAAGTCTTTAGAGCGAAGTACTTCCTAAATTCGTCTTGTGAAAAAGCAAGTTTGGGAGCTAATCCTTCATTTGTGTGGCGGAGTATTTTTGCAGCTCAAGAAATAGCCAAAAAGGGTTTAAGAAGGCAAGGAGGACTGTAATTTTAGTGCAGGCTGTTTTCTGAAGTGGGTAAAAGCTGTGTTTACTAATTCGGGAGAGGAGGACTGCTTCAAATTTATTATGGTGTCGTGGGGAGTTTGGAAGGCAAGGAATGAACAAAGGTGGAATACGGTGGACAAGGCTCAGGACGAGGATGACAGCTTTATAGTAGGAGGGAATGAGGTTAGAAGAGTGTCTTGGACACCGAAGGAAGCAGAAGCTATGGGGCTTCGGTCAGCAATTCAAGTAGCAGCAGAAAGGGGCAAGAATCGTGTTGAAACCAATGCCATGTTGGTGGTTTCAGGTCTGCACACTGATACAAGAGATTCTTATTTTTATCTTGTTTTAGATATATTAGATTTTTGTTGAGTCAAAACGAAGATATTGTGGTTAGTTTGTGTAAATGGTCTGTGAATAGTGTCGTTCATGCATTGGTAGGGGTAGCCCGTTCTATTTCTAATCAGTCTCAAATCTTTTATACTCCTCTCGATTCTATCGTAAGTCTTTTGACAAATGATTTATTAAATTAATAGAAGAACAGTTTGTGAGTAAAAAAAGGTCATGTTGTATACATCTCTTGACCTAGAATGTAGACCGTGGTTGAACAAAATAAATCATGATGTATTTACTCATGAATGATATGCAAGAATTGAACTTTGATGACAAGAAAAAAACGCAGAGAGGGATTTCCCCAAAGAAAACACAACGATTATAAATAACACACATATTTATTTATGGAGTATAATCTAAAGTGTGTGGTAAAAGGTCAAAGGTGAGCATATTTAATTGACTATGTTATTATTTCTGTTGAGACTATCTAATGATCTATTGATCTTCTAAGTTGAGTCGATCTTAGATTCAGTGTAGACAATCTAAATGTGTTGTCTCTATGTGATCATTTTCAAGAGTGTTATGTGTGGTTGGCAAACTTATTTGATAAGTTCAAACTTATTAAATAAGTGTTATTAGTCGACTAGATTTTCACTCGTGCGTTGCACGGGATGAAGTTCATAAATATTGATTTCTTATAAATACTTAAAAAACATATTGGTAATAGGCTTCATACTTGGTATGTTTGATGATCACATATAACGATAAAATTAATAAAATGTTGTACCAGGTTAAAGTTCCACTAATAGTACATGTATCATAATACTCCCTCAATCTCTTACTTTTACTTTTTCCTCATTAACTTAAAGACATCTACTTTTAAAAAGATAGGCAAAAGTGTAAAAAACAAGCATCATTTATTGTCATTTCTTAATCCTTGTACCGGTCAAAGTTTGCAATTCAATTCGGGACGGATGGAGTACAAAGTATTAATAAAGTATTAACTATTTTCTTAGAGATTGTGCGTCAAATGACAAAATGGAAGACTCATTCAAACTAAAGTTTCTGGTCATTCAAACTAATTGTGTGGTTTTTCATTTTAAAATTTCTGGTTTTCCATGAATAAATAATATTAAAAACTTCACTAGTTTTACATTTTCAATTGAGTTCTCCCCATTCTTAGCCTACATTGGAATCGGCGGTAAATATGATAGTAATGAAATCTTCGATTGGGAGAACCCATATTGTACCATACAATATTTTGATTACTATACAATATGGGTTCTCCCGAAAACTTTCAATTGAGTAAAAAAAAGGAACATGTTAATGATTGATCCAGTCCGGATAAGAGATGCTTAATTTTATATGACTAATCTATTGGTTGGAATAGCATTGTTGAGTTGTTGTGTCAGATTATTTTATCAAATTGTTAATGTCAGAAGCTATTTTAATAACTACCAAAAGTTCATAAAAAATTTTAAGAGTGAAGAGTGGCTATTAGCAATTCTCGAGTGACATACATTTTAAGACCTATTCTAAAGACATGAATGATTAGTTTTATACTCCGTATTGTTTTAATTCCAATTCCAATATTAGCCTTCAGATAGTTATTAAATGATGAATTCAAGTGTCCAATAGATTTATGAAAATGACATTATTTTTTCTGAAGGAGATTGTCTCACAGTTAGAAGTGATAAAAGAAAATATATTGTCAGGATAAAAATATTTTGCAATGACCAAAAACAAAATATGTCACATTTGTAGGGTTTAAAACGTATTATCTAGTTTTTTAATCAAAATTATTTTTTGAAGTTGATGAAATTTCACTTTAAAAATACCGTTTATTTGATAAGGTGGAAAATACCGAGTAATATTATGCTAATCTATTTGTGTAGAAAAAAAATGAGAGTGCAAGAACGTAGGAATTAAACCGTAATGAAAACAAACTAACATTTCTCAACCGAATGTCAGAACTTCATGAGAGAGCTTGTGTCTCGTCTAAAAGCTTAGATTGTAATGCCATCCTAGAAAAAAACAAATGGAGGTTGTTAGATCCGCCTTGGATGTTGCATACCAGAAAGCAGTGGAGCATTCAAAAGATAGGCCCATCCATTTCGTTAATGGTTGTTCTAGATTTTATGAGCTTGCAATGATTCTGGTGGATGGTGGATGCAATGTTGTTCATAGAGATACATATATCCCTAATGAGAGAAAGAACAAGAAGACCGTCCTCTCCGACCTTCGGAAAATGGCACGATGTCTGTATGAACGCATCGAGGTATTACAAACATCGATTAATGATGAGAAAGATGAAGACCGATCAAACGATAATGGTAATGATTTCTATCATAACCAGATTCAACGAATGAGTTGTGATTTGGAAATGCTAAAAGACACGTTTGGTTTCATGTTTGGGGATTCAGGAGATGAAGACACTAAAATATTGGAATCAGAATTGCAATTGGATATCCACAAGGTAATTATGAGTGAAATGATGAACTCATTGAAAATGGAAAAATGTGATTATGAAATTCAAAATGTGATTAGGGAAGAAATACATGCCTTGGTGATAACAGAGGCAGGTAAACATTCTACTTCTGACCATTCAAAAGAAGAAGATGAGATCCCCCCTTTGCCCTCATCAGCTAGGAAGTGGGAGAACAATGAGGAGGAAAACATGATACAGGTACTCGACTCGGTGCTAAGGTGTCTAGAGAGGGAAGAAGATTTGGTTTTGAGCGCGAGCAGTGAGATTGAGCAGCACAGCGTAAACCATTACCTGGAGATCTTCAGGACCGAGGAGCGGGAAGAGAGGGAGGCCATTCAATGGCTATTGGACTCTGACGAAAGCATTCTGAGTTCTGTTAATATAAAGTTGGCCAAAGCACTCAAACAGCTCCTCACTAGCAAGGAGTTGTTGTTGGATTTGGAACAAGGTTTGGGCCTGTGCCCCGACGGTGAAGGGGACGACGAACACAATAACAATAATGTTGATGAAGATGAGAAGCTTTCTTCTTGTCGAATACACGGTGGCAATCCTTTCTCATCTCTCAGAAGGTTTCAAAAAGTCTTAATTGATTTTGAGGATACTGTGCTTGCTAGTTTAGAGAAGAAATGCTTAAGGTATCCAACTTCCCTTTCAAAATATATCCTCTAAATATTCTCTTCTAGGCCTCACCTAAGACCTTTTTTCAATAAATTTTTTGAATTATCTGAGGACAAATATTTGATAATTAAAGAATTTCAGCCAAATAAGCAAATGGAAAGCTACTGTATTACTCCCTCCGTCCCAATTTGATGGTCCTGTTGCGGTTTACGAGGCTTGACCGGAAATAAAGAAAACGAATCCCTGTCCGAACTTAAATTATTTGTAGCAAATAAAATTTACATATTCAGAAACTGCATTATAAGTTTTACAAAGTCACAAAATCCTGAATCAAATTTGATAAAATTTGATATAAAAAGTAAGCAATTAAGAGAGATTTGTGTTGACCGAGTGAATATGAACTAGGACCATCAAATTGGGACGGAGGTAGTACTTTATTTAGATTATTTTACTCATAATAAGCGCCTTAAATAGAAGAAGTTGATAAATGAATGCTACACAACATGTCATAAGTGTTTCTAAGAATGAAATTATGCAGATGAAGGAACATTAAATAGATTTTGTGACCATGCTACTGCCCTTCTCATAAGTACCTCTACTATATGGTTAATGTGTCTTGATTTTGTTAAAAGAAAGAAATTGGAAAACCAACATAAATGGTGATGTTTATTGAAGCGAAAAAACATTATCCTTGAAAGTGAAACTCATCATGGATCGGCCGTCGGCATAGTAGAAATGGCGAAAGTTGCTCAGAAATTCATATGAACTGGGTTCACAAAACTGAACGTAGTATAACAGAATCATCTCTTCCCCAGGATAGATAAATTGGAGCAGCAATTGCAAGAGCTAGAACATCATGTTGCCTCATTGAAGACAAGAGAACAACGTTATAGAAAGGCATTCTTAGCGAGGTGTCATAGCCTGCATTTTGCAGAAAATGAGGTTGTTTTAGACCAAGATTTGTTTAAACTTAGGTATATGCATGACATAAAGGGGTAAAAATTAAATTGATCTTCTTTTTGGGATTTTTTTGTATTGTTGTTTGGACAGGTTGACCTACTAGGGGATCAGGTGGAGTCACTACTGCAATTTCTTGAGAAAATATATAGAAAATTGAGCAAAAACTCGTCAATTTTGTCATGCCATTTTGAGGTTTGTCATATCTAAGATATCTTGTCATGCAAATCTTCCGTTAAGATTCAAACAAAAGGAGAAAATAAATGGTGAAAGTGAAATTGGTTTTTGTTGTGTTTGCAGGTCACTGACATTGTAAGATTAATCAAGAAAGAGATAGCAGATACAATTGTTTGTACAAATAAAATTAATTCCTAGGGTGTATCACTTCCCTCTTTTTGTCCTTTAGAAATTGTGCAACATCTAGAATAGATAAGATGCATTTGGATAGTGATGAACAAGCATGAGGGAGGAAAGTGTTTTACTTGGGTGGTTAGGTATGACATACCAAAAGTTTTATCTAATACCTTATGTCATATCTAAACTTTAAAATACATATGGTTATATTATCGAAATTCAGTTTAACAAAATTTCAAGTTTTGATAGAGAGAAGATATGAGTGTATTGTATCCAAATTTCAATATAACAAAACTCAAATACAATATCTCTAACTTATCATGTCATAGTGGCGTTTCAATGCAACAAATTATTATATGTGGCTAATGAAGTACTCCCTCCGTTTCTGAAACAAGTTCCACATTTGACTTCACACATATTAAGAAAAAAATTGATTTTACTGTGGAGTGCACTGTTTGGCACTGTTTGAACACTGTTTGGCACTGTTTGAACACTGTTTGACACTGTTTGACATTGTTTTGATGTAGATAATTTGCCAAATAAGGAAATGTTTGAAAGTGGAACTTAATTTTGAATCTGCCCGAAAAAGAAAGGTGGAACTTGTTTCAGAAACGGAGGGAGTATATAAAATCGGTGTCATTAGAGATTTATATACTAATCTCATCGACAAAAACATTTCGAAAATACTAATAATAACCCATTAAAGTTTTATTTAACATTGAAAAAGGATTATAATAATTGTGTTTTCACATTGTAATACACTACATATTAGAAATAGCACATTCTCCAACAAATAAATACATATCCCAACAGAAAAAGTAAAAATGATTCAAGTAACATGAACATAACGAAATATTAGTTAAACGATCATCCCACATTTTCTTCTTTTTGCTAGTCACAATTCCACCTTTCTTATTTGGTGCCATGCTTGTTGCTTGGTTAGCGGATGCATCATCTGTACCAGCCCCCCTATTATTCATTTGTTCTTCTCCGTATGCACTTCCAAAATAAGTTTCATCATCTCCCACATCACCATCTTGAAAATCAGTTTCTTCGCCAACTTCATCAAGATCTTCAATCGCATCAGCTGCAGTCTCGACTACTGCTTCAGTAGCTCGATCCTTCCCAAATGGGTTTAATGCACCAAACCCCCCTCGTGATATAGAAATTAAGCGCATTAGCCCCTTGTGATTTGAAAAATGCGTCAAAATCCCTTGTGTTTTAATTAATCATGCACAGAACCTCTTTATGAATAAATTTAACGATTTGGAAATCACTTTTCCTAATATTTTGATTGAATATGCAAGTAAATATGTCAAAACTTCTAAATCATAGGTAAGTGTTAATCATTTTTCTTTTATTTGACAATTGAATTTGTTCATAGAAGGGATTTTGCGCATAATTAATTAAAACACAAGGGGGTTTGACGCATTTTTTAAATCACTTGGGATTAATGTGCCAAATTTCCATATCACATGGGGGTTTGGTGCATTAAACCCCTTCCCAAACACCTCAACTAGTTCATCATAGTGTAGAAAAAGTTTATTTCTTAAACCAAGAGCTCTTGAATGACTATGTACATAGCAAGGACACAAAAATATTATAACTAGATGTGGACTGTAAAAATACATTTTGCTTTATAATATAATACTACCTCCGCCCCCCTAATATTGGGACGGAAGGAGTGGTGTGGTTTTTAAGAAAAGTAGAATTATGTGGTTGATAATGAGTTGATAAAGTGGGAATAAAGTAATAATGAATTAGAAACACATAAATGTTACCAAATATGGTATGGGACAATAACAGAGGGACATCCAAAAATGGAAAAATGGGACAACTATAGGAGGACGTAGGAAGTATATTTTTGGCAATTTTAGAAAAGATATAAATAGTCAACTCTAGACCAGTCATCAAAGACATCCTTGGTGCATGTCACACAATGGTCACCTTCATTCCAACCAAAGCCACTCTTATAATTTAACATTTCAGAGATGGCATAATATTATTTTTTCAGAAACTTTGTTCTAGATTCAATATGAGGATTAGATCTGGTATTGATTCCAAGAAGTTTCACTTTTATCATCTTTTCTAAATGATACAAGTACCCGATTTTGAAGCCATTTTCTCCTTTCTAGTAGGATCATGGTAGAGGTCAACAAGACAATCTACTATAGATTTGTTTTCAGTAGTTGTTCATTGGTCCTTAGGAACAAATGATTTCTTGATGTCGATTCCTTTATGTTGCTTAGCAGTTGCCTTTTCTGTCAAACTTTTGGATCCATTTTCTATTCTTATCATCACAAGAAAATAACATATAATAATACTACCTCCGACGACCCTCTGGAGCAGTGAATCTGAACGGCTTCGTAAGGCTGGCTCAAATTGTTAAAGGCGACGGTGTTAATAGGGACTCCTGGCGTTTCAATTCTTTCGGTGCCAGGTTGTGATTTTCGTTTTTCTTCTCCGGGCGTTTAGCCCCGTGTCTTTGTTTCCCGCTCAATTTGGACGAGGTTGATTGTAATGTCTTTCTGCTCTGAACACTCGACTGGTGCTTTCCTCCTTCTGCGTGGAGAGCAGTGATTTCAATCGAATCTATTTACATAGTTTCAGTATTTTTAATTTGCCTTGTGTTTGAAGATTATGGATTGTGCTGTGATGGAAATGATTTCGAGGAATGTTAACATGCTTTCAATTGCCGAGGAAGAGAATAGGGGTTTGGTGCTTGCGTCTGACCCGACGGAGAATGCGGATGGGACTACAGAAGGATTCAATCTAGCGGTTGTGGCTAGAGTGGTTTTCGAGAAACCTGTTCGTGCCGTTTCTTTTTGCCAAACAATGGATATGGTATGGCGACCAATCAAAGGAGTTTCTATCGATGAAGTTGAGGATTCTAAATTCTTATTACAATTCTATCATGAAGGAGATTTGAACAGAGTTTTTGATGAAGGGCCTTGGTCCTTTGAGCAGAATCTTGTGGTTATTAAACGATTGGGGCGTACTGATAAACCTCTGGAGGTTCCACTGGATCATGCGAACTTCTGGGTTCAGGTTCACAACCTACCCTTAAGCTATATGACGAAAAGGGCAGCTCGTGGAATAGCTAGTAGTATCGGATCACTTGTGCAAGTTGATGAGGGCTCTCTTGATGGAAAGCAAAGGTTGGTCCTATGCATTAGAGTCACGCTTAACATTACAATGGCTTTGACTAGACGCTTACAGGTTAGACAGGAGGGAGATAGCTGGATCTGGGCAAATTTTCGATATGAGAGGCTTCCGAGTTTCTGCTTTCTGTGCGGGATTCTTGGTCATGCTGACCATTTTTGTCCATCTAATCCGCATGGTGGTATAGGAATCGGGGAGAAGCCTTATGGGCCATGGTTACGGGCTGATATGAGATGGGTAGGACCGCATCCGGGTAATAGGTGGCTTATTCCTAGCAATAACAAGCCAGGGGACACACGGGATGAGAAAGTAGAGTCGGATAAAGGGACAAAGGAACATGAAAGCTATATGGTGGAAGGACTCCTATCAAAGGGGAAGGAGATTGCTACAACCCTTAGTTCCACATCCTTTCAAGTCATAAACCTTAAGTTTTAGCATTAAAAGAACTTGTTGTGTTGAAAGATCCCAAGCTGCTCAGTCCATTAATTTTCATGTAACCGCAATGTCCGAACGAAGAATTAATAAAGGCAAGTAATGTTTTGGTATCAAAATTTGTTCAATCATATTTTTTAAGTCATAGTCATCAACTTTGTAATGAAAATATGCACCTCATAATAGTCTTTTGGATAACAGCATTCGGAATTTACGTATTCTTGTTTGAATAAAGTGCCTGTTAATGAATAAACACGCTAGACTTTCTAATGCACAACACAACGTGTCAACGTGCTTAAGCATGTTTAGTTTCAATGTTCAAGGCGCCAATGACATATTGAAACAGAACCATCTTGCAGCGAAAATTCACATCGATACAATTCAATTTAATTCAATCCATTCCTAATAGCAATTCCTAATAGCATAGCTAACATCTTAGGCCCTGTTTGGAGCATGGGAATTATAGGGAAAGACAATAGCGATTAGCGATGAAACCTTGTACTGTGGGCTGGCATGGGACTATGTAGCTAACTTCTAACATCATATGCTTCTAAATTTTCAGAATGTTCTTTGCCTTTTTACCTTAGTAATAGCTTATTTACTAAAACATGATTAGTTACTAAAACATGCAAGGAGAATAGCTTTTTTCAAGCGTTCTCAAGCACTTGCAACAAAATATAATAGTGTTTTTCAACCATTAGAACCTCTGTATATGTATAGTAAGGAAACTATGTCATATTCTTGAGTCTCTAAACCTTTTACAATATTTCTTTCTGGCCTTATGCTTCCCCGTCTCGGGAAAAGAATAAGTTTATGAGAATAGCTCTTTCGGTCAAGTCGGTAGGATCAAAGTGCAATAGTCAGGGTAGGATTTTCCTCTATTATAAACGGGGTATAAATATAAGCATGGATCCACCTGATGTTCCATAAAAAAGAAATATACACTATTACACTTATTGGATTGCATTGCAACTGAAAGCAGACCTTAGTTTTGAAAAGGTTAATAGGTATGCACGTATAAAAGTTTTATGCAGAGAAGATTTTTATTATTTCTCATTTCAGCATACCACTCTACAATGGTCATCCCAAATTTTACATATTTATAATACTTGAGTGACATTAAAAACAAACAGCAGTAACTCTGGCAACACAAAGAGCCATATAACTGATATTCGATAATAATTTGTGGCAAGTAAAGAGACACTTAGAAAAAACTGTTTTCTCAGCATTAATTTTGGTTTATTTTCAACAATGCCTTCCCTAAACCAAAATTTCTTCGTACTCCGAGAGCAGCAACGTGCTTTGAGAATATTGGTCCTCCAATCGGTTTTGTAAAGATATCAGCCATTTGTCTTCACTTCTGCAATACTCAAGATTAATTTCTCTTTCACGAACAAGTTCCCTGAGAAAGTAAAACCGCACTCAAATATGTTTTGTTTTTCCATGCAGTACTGGATCTTTTGACACAAGAATTGTTGAGCTATTGTCACAGTATAATGTTGTTGGCCCATTTTGCTTACAATTCAGATTTTCCAGAATTCCTTTTAGCCACAAAGTTTGACATCCAGCAAGTGATGCTGCGATGTATTCGGCTTCGGTGGTTGAAAGGGCCACGATCTTTTGC